AAAGTACGGCACTGTTCGAAAGTCTCGCTTACTTTTACCTTTGGCTAACGGAAACAACTCTTTTTTGAGAATACAGTAGCCTTCCAAGAAAAATCTCCTTTCTTGGGGCATGGCCAATCCCTCCTCAATTTGTAGGAAAGTTCTGTCCGTACTTTCCAAAAATGAACATTCCCAATTCAGATTTCTAACCTCTCGAGAACTTGGTTTGCACTTCGAAATATCTTGCATGAGGGAAGCAATTGCGAGCAAAAAAAAAACGAGCTAAACGGACTACTATACCACAGATTTTGGATCCAGTACAAATAATAGATCAACGCACGCAAGTACTACATTTGGAAGGAGAAATAGAACGCTCGCTCGCGGATTCCACATAATTAGAACACAGAGGTAGATATACAGGGTTGGGGGAAAGTCTTTGAACACGGTATTTTTATCGTTGTCCCGAAACTAGACAACATATTCATATGAAATGAATATATAATGTTTATCAAACACTCTGCTATATAAAAGTACCTTTACATTTCAAAGATCCCTCCTTCGGCGCGAATACAGGCTCGAAGACGCTTGGGAAAGCTGTCCACGGTGGCACGGAGGTACTCCACGTCGATTTCTTCCCACGCCTTCTGAAGAGCACGTCGCAGGGACTCCAAAGTCTTGTGTGGGTGAGCGCAAGCCTTGGCCTCAAGAACTGACCATACGCTATAGTCGAGGGGATTGAGATCCGGCGAATACGGGGGCCATTCTGCAGGAGTAATGAAGTTCTTTACGTTGCTCTGAAGCCATGCCTGAACAACCTTCGCCTTGTGAGCAGGTGCGCTGTCCTGCTGGAAGCACCAATCTCTACCGGAAAAATGGGTATTGGTCCAGGGTAGCAGTACCTTCTTCAGGATGCTATCCAAATACTCAGCAGCGTCTACCTTGATGCCCTGAGGCACAAAAATCAGCGGCGTCTTGCCGTCGGAAGTGATTGCCGCCCAAACCATCACAGAAGCCGGATGGAGCTTACTTTCCACAAGTCGACCTTTGCTGTTTGCTTCTTCGAGCGACTTGGATATGATCCTGCTGTTTTGGCGATTGAAAACCTGCTCCACTGTGAAAACTTTCTCGTCAGAAAAGAGGATCGTTCGGTGGCGTGCCTTGGAGAAGCGCTCAAGCAATCGGCGACACCTGTGAAGTCGGGTCAGCTTCATACTGTCTTGAAGTGCGTGCGTTTTCTGCATCCGGTAGAGCTTCATCCCAAGGTTCACTTTCACGATGTCCGAGATGGTCCTACGACTGACGGACAGCTCTGATGCCAGCTCACTCAAGCTCCTTTGCGGATTACGACGTATGCGTTCTCGGATGATCTTCCGGTTCGCGGCAGTGTTCGCGGTGGCTGGTCTACCGTCCCTAGGACGGTCCTGGGTACTGTTTGTCTCCTTGAAACGGCGCAGGTTGTACCACACAGTGTTCCGCGGAATTCCGAGTATTTGAGCGATCTGCTTTTGTGACTTCCCTTCCATGTGCATCTTCACGATCAGCTCGCGCTCTGATTGAGATGGCATAATTCCGGTAGGATTAAGAATATCAATCCAATTTTTGGAGGGCTTTTATAGAAGAGTTCAAAGATCATTTACACCAAAGATAAGATAAGACATGATATGATATGATAAAACAAGATAGCACCTAAATGTTGTTCAAAGACTTTCCCCCAACCCTGTATAAATCTCGCATTTCCATCTTGATCGGAACTCATATAAGGAGATCATCTGATCACTCCTACAACTACGATTTGCGACTATTTCGAGGAACGAACACCGGTTCTATACTTTCTGAAAACAACTTCTCTTGTAACCCTTTGAAGAACTTTTGTGACTATGAGAAATCTTTGACATATTTTTAGTAAACAGTTGGAGTGGTTTTTCTAACGATTCTTCGTAAAGTTGAAACAGCTTTGTAATCAAGAAGGGCACGGCAGCTTTTGCCCAATCAGATCAATGTAAGAATTTGGAAAGCATCTTCAAATTTTTTGGGTGTGGCTTACTCTGTCCTTTCATTCAAAAAGGATTTTTGACCCTCCCTGAGCAGGTGTTCGGCCTTTCTAGCTGAGAACGCGTCTTTAGCGGTTTCAATCATCTGATCTTTGAGAACAACAATCATGCACATCAGCCTCGGATTTTATGAGTTCTCCATTCGCCACACACTATATACGTCTATCAAAACCAAAATAAAAATCGGCTTTCACGAAGATACTGTGGCTGAGAAAAAGATGAAATATTCATGCAAAAGCAAGACTTTCCTCCAAGTCTTTATTACTCACAAGTACATCGAAAAGGTCCGAAAATAAGCATAACTCCAACAACACAGTACGACTTCGAACATTGGAACACAGCAACAGAAACTGGAATCTAACTTGATTCCGACCTTCATGCCTTTTCTGAAGTACATCGAACAATAAAAACAAGGCGTTTTTCTGTTAATATACGATAAGTAGAGATAATATGACTTCAACCCATCAAAATACTATGTGAAACTAATATGAAGCAAGATTCACAAGAGGCAGCGTTCTGGCAAAACCCTAAGCCGTCTTACTTTTGAAACCGTTTTTACTGCACCGATCCCGAATATGCTCCGAAGCGGATATATACATCAAAGAAAGAACAATTTTCTACGTATGATCGGAGCGCGAATGTTCATGAATTGCCTATTTTGCCATCTAACTGTAAATGCATTCTCGGAATCAGCACGACAAGTAAGACCATGTAGCAAAAATATAGAAATCGGGCATTTGCCCGGACACTGTCTATAACATCAGGGGCGGTATTTATCAATCTCCCGCTCGCTGTTCGGGCCATTGTTAACGAGAGCTGGACAGGCAAGAGCGCCAGCCCGTGATTTATCGAATGGTCCGATCTGACAAGTTTGGCCATGTTGGGCACGGCAGTCGGGCAGCGGAGCCCGATCTCGACGGGTCGGGCTCCGCTGCCCGATTGCCGTATTCGACATGGCCAAACTTGCCAGATTGGACCATATCCTTCAATAGAGAGGCCGATCACCAGGTTCATATATCGCGGGCCATTGCCGCGCCTGTACGGGCTGTTACCTCTACAGAAACCCCTTCCAGTATAGGAGGTTGATAAATACCGCCCCAAGATAACCAGATGGCTGATTACGTACAAGATAGTAGAGAATACAATTGAAGCGAGATGTAACAATTCGCAACAAATAGAAAAGCAGTAACCTATAATTTAAGCTAAAGTTTAAGTGAACCTGCAACTTAACATTGATGCAAAAGTCAATCACATCAGCAACAAATGAAAAGTACCTCAAGGTGAAGCTTAAGCCTTAAGGATCAAAACATAGAACTGAACTAAACATAGAACTCAAAACATAGAACTTTGAGGATTCTATGAACGTTCACTCAATAATGCCGCGGCATGTGAATACGTCAAAACTTATGCTTTAAAATGAGAAAACATAGTTTAACTTATTCGGTATGCTTCGCGCAAACTTTCTAAGCCTTCGAAGTCATAGAGACGCTGTAGCTTAAGTACAGTAAAAACAAAATAACTAATAGAATAACGAGTGGTTCCAGCCTCAATTCCTGCAGTGAACTGCGGTTGACGTTGAGGACTGGGTTAGTATCAACACTGTAAAAATCTTGTAGATCAAAAATGTAGGGCGTAGAACATCCAAAAAGAAAGTAATGAGGATTAAACTATCAAAGTCTGGGGAAAAACGAGTAATCATTAAGGAACTCCATAAAGTCTTCTACCCGGCTAAGTTGGCATCAAATTGGCTGCTACGGGAACACGTTGTAACAATACAGAACCGTAGTAACAATACAATAATTAACCAACAAGGTAGCAGGAATCTGGGATCAAAGGCAGATAACAACTTAGTTCCCAAGCATACCTCAGACGGCTTCAATAGCCACACGATCTGACATTCTCGCATCATTTCTTGACAAAACATGATGCATGCTTTTGTAGATTTATTCGGACGTAGTACTGATATAGCCAGATCGCGCAGCAACTCAAGTTGCCCAAGATATGCCCAGCGTCTCAGACGGTTGGACCAGCAAGTCTTTTGTACGGTACGGTACAGCAGAATACGGTTTGCTGAGGCGGCATTAATCAAAATGAGCACCTCGGAGGTAAAACTGACTGCGCTCGGGGATCTAGATAAAGGAAGGAATTCCGTCTTCATACGCCGCCTCGAGCGGCTCTACTGGCGGCGTACCCTACGCCCTGAGACATCAATCAATAAGCCATTGCTCAAAGGCGCAAACGAGCCATTCTAAACGTGAAAAAGGTAAACTTCCAACTTTTGGCCACTACCGAACTTGAAGACGAGAACAGTAAATATTTCTATACTCATGCCTATGCGAAGGAGGGACGCTGAACTGATTCCATGGACAGGGAATGTGCTGGGCAAGAGTTCAATAAAGTCTCAGCTATGAAGTCGCAGAGCGGCCGCTTATACCATGCCTTGAGTAGCTCCTTTATAATTTCCAGCTAAGAAAGCTCAAGAGCCCAGATTTGCCCGAACGTTGCTTTTATCGCACATCCGCCGCAAGTCCAACCGCCTGAGGTTGCTTCACTTACTAGTTTTCCAGCAGATCTAGTTCGTGCAGGAGCTCGTGATATAAAGCTTGGTCGGCTTTTCTTATCTCCGCTCTAATCCTTTCTGACTTCATACATTCTCTCATATGCTGACGCAGCTCTTTCTGGAATGAATGTGGGAAATAATAACTTGAAACGTAATAGTATGATATTTGTCTTGGTTTACTTCAAAGTTCGTAAAAAAGTGCCATAGTGTTGTGCAGACACTTGGGCTACCGCCAGAAGAAGGCGAAGCAGCATAAGTGATGCGGCGCGAACGCGTCGCGCGCATTTTCCACATGTTGTAAACCTTGGCGCTCTCCGGAATAAAACCGCGTTCGCGCCTTTAGGTTTTGCCCCTCACCTGGCAATAGCCTATACATCTACACTCGACCAAAATGTAAGATTATGAAAAAGTTACAATATCAACACGGTAACCTTTACCTCTGTTTCTGAATCTTCCGAAGTATCTTCGAGATTCCTACACTTGTCACCATCAGAGGACTTCGCAAGTGAGTCACTGGATTTTCTAGATGACTCGGGACTCTGCAAATCTAATTTCAAATGACACATCACTAAGCTTTGCAATTTACCTTTTCAATCTCTATACCGGAATCTTCCCTTCCCTCATCAAGAAAGTTGTCTGAAAAAAAATCAATTAAATAGACCCCCAAATTTTGAATTATTTGAACTAGTTACTTGAAAGTTTTTTGATGTGGTTCTGTGGACATTTTTGTGCTGCATTCGGATGCTGCAATTCGAACTCTAAATGTGTGTTGAGGCAAGAATATAAATTTACCTCAGCATTGCCTTGCTCATTGTCCTTCCCATAGCACTGAACCAAATTAAGTATCCTTCTAACTTTCCATCTAGGGAAGTCCTCAGATTTAAAATGCCTGATGCATTCTATGATGTAAATTCCATATTCTAAATATGCGTATGGCGTCTATTTACACGTCATTACAATGCTTACCACGATCTCTAAAAAGATCAAATTGATCTTTCATAAATTCCCATCTGTTGCTCCATACCACCTTGATACCATGGTCGTCGGTACATCCTATGTATTCCACTTCTAATGTCAGCTAAAACCGAATTTCTTATGCTTAGTACCTTAGAAAAAATCGCTTTATTTTCAGCTGAGACGCCCAGTCAAACAACACTTAGACATTTGAAGATTAGTCTCAGCGAACACGGCTGCAACCGAATCTTTGGGCTAAACGGTGATCACGCTACTACGAGCGTGCGGGCATGACTGTAATGTGACTATAAGTAACGGCCCGGCTCTCATTTTATCAGTAGAAGAACGAGAAACACAACACACACGAAAAACAGCAAGAGGTCTTGGACGATTTGTGGCTGAGGAACCAGCCCGCTATCATTGCGTTACAGTTGCACTGCGCCGGACTCTTGCCGCTACTCGGCTTGCATATACAGGGCTTATCAAACGCAGTGTCGCTTGCATCAGCGTCTCCACTCCCTCGCTAGATTCTGCGTCTCTTCCGCGAACATGCTCTCTGATCACTTTCCCAGGGCGAGCGTGGGAAAGGCGGAGTCAATCCTTTAGAAGTGATTGGAGAGCATGCTCGCGGAAGAGACGCAGAGTCAAGCGCGGAGTGGAGATGCTGATCAAAGCGACACTGCGTTTGATAAGCCCCCGCAAAAAAAAACATAGCTACAGACTGCTTCGAGTGTAACGTTCTACACGTGCACGCATGTACAGCCCGAGCCAATCGAAGGTCCATTTGACACCATAAGGCAAACACTACATTCCGCATTCTGCGGGACTGTGAACGTTTCCCCACACCAAGTTCTAGTTACCTCATGTTCGCAAGGAAATTACAAAAACACTAATAAATCAAAGACATGATGAATAACTTACGGAAAAGTAGCCATTGTATCTAGTAGGTATCATGGATCCTTTTGATGACTCGATCTTCCCCGTTACGTAGTATGTATAGGGCGTAGTCTCTCGAGTAAGAAAGCAAACATCTGTACCCAGCAAAGTTTCGACATCGCCATTACTGAAATACTTCAAACAATAATTAGTGCTATATTCAGCTGAACTGACTCACAAGTTTACATTCTTAAATCGGACATCATGAGGAAAATCACGAGAAGTGATGTAGTTCATACCACGCTGCTGAACGGCACCTACTATGCCGCAACTACACTGATGAAGCTGGAAGTTAGTACAGATAGAAGGAGGAGTAGAATTGTTTTACAAGAACTGACATTATCATCTACCGGTTGCAGATACTCGTCCACACCGCAAAGTTTCCATTCAAAATGGGAAGATGTTTTGCATAATTTTACTGTAGCTCGCAACTTCCCTGTAAAGCATAGATGAAGGGCGGGTCACAAATAAAAATTCTCCAGAGATGCGCCTACACCTCCTTCGTGTGCAATAGGATATCGCAATGTGCGAAATTATCGGAGAGTATACCCACTTCTCCTTTACTTCATGTTCTCGTTTGAAGGCATAGCAAACAATTCTAAGTCTTTACAGCCCTACAAAGGTTAAAATTTCGCAAAAGTCCCTTTCATTTATTGAAGCCAAGCAGAAGTAATGTGGACTGGGTGTAGGTACCTCTCTACTGCTTACATTCCAGGGTCAAACATGTTGTGAAGTCAGGACCGATTTGGTGTGAAATACAGTACCCTGGCGTGTTCCGCTTGCTCGTTCGCCTTCGGTAGGCGCCAGACTAAGCGACTATTTGTTCAGCTGCAGAAGGCGTGCAGAATTAATATCTGCTGCATAATGTCGGAGGGCAAGCGTTAGGCGACAAAACGTGCAAAACGCAATCAAAAGCCCGTAAGTCAAAACTATGTGCAATTTTTTTGATGGCGTCGAGTAATGTATCGGCCCCGACCCCCACCCCCCTGTTTTTGGCGGAGGAGACGTTTTGCACGAGGAGTTATTTGGTGTCCAAAAAATCAGGTTTGTCGCCTAACGCCCTACACCCCATAATGTCTGCTGCTGGCCCGCTTCAGCTGCAGGTCCCGCGCAGAATTGACGTTAATTCTGTTTGCAGCTGGACAAAATATTCGCTTGGTCTGGCACCTACCTCAGTGCGGCTGCACGCCAGGAGGTACGCCGCGCGCGGCCACCGCTCCGCCGCGTCCAAATTTTGGGACTCACAAATCTCTCCACTGTTAGAGTTCCCGGCGGCAAAAACAGCGGGGCAGGGGTGGGGCAGACACATGTACTCGATGCCAAAGTAATAGTGCGCTAAAAGTGTTGCTGTTGCATTGGCTGAAGTGCGCTGCGGCTTCGCTTCGCGAAAAATTCGCGGCGATCGTACCTCCTGACCGTTTCCCCCTCATCGCCAGATCGTGACAGTCGCATTTGCTACGGAAAGCGCGCGTTCAAACGTCGCAGAGTCGTAAAAATCAAACAAGCGCAGACATCCTACTACTTCCCAAAATGGTCCAAATGGAGACATATGAAGAGAGAAGAACTACCAAGAGATACAAAAATCCAGGTCAAATTGCTTGGCTCAATAGGAAGCAATGGCCGCAGCAGATGGGACCATCACAATCCGACAGGCCCTATACACGCGAGTCAGGCACTCAGAGACTGGACGATCTTGCAACCGACAAGGATAGTTTGTGCTTGGAAGAGACGGCAGGCGAAGGGATGAAAATACACCAAAAGAGAGGCGTAGACAACGCGTGCAATGGCGTTCTTTCTCTACTTGTGACGAATCGCCTATGACTGGGTACAATTTGAAATTTCAAACCCAGCCTACCTAACAAACATTGTTCCGCATAGCTTGGTGTCTCATTCAGAGGCTAGTTGGCGTCGAAATATTTTGTTGGATTGGTATATAGCCTTACCTATATAGTTCTTTGCCAAAACTCCTCCATCATCTCTTACCACTCCGGTTATATCATTAAACACTGCTGGATGCGCGAGCGGTATTCCTTTGTAACGCACACACCCACATGTATAAAAACTACCGCAGAACTGAAGAAAAAACATGAACTAATGAGTTCAAGAACGATACAGCTAGTTCTTGATTTTACAATAACCTTCAGATCCTCTTCAAAAGCTTTGCTTGCCAAGGAGAGTGTCATCGTCACATAACCATCATATGGTACCCAAGTCGAAATATTGATCATACTCTTGTCTTTCGAGTTGGGCCTGAAGTGAACATTGCTGTAATTCTAAAAACAGTTCCAAATTCAGACAGAGTTAATGTGTTCTATTCCCTTCAACATGTTGTTAAGTTTGATATACAGTCGTTTTCAATACGTATTGGTCTTTTCTACGTATGCCTTCCAGCCTCAACATGACGTGGATTGGTGCGGCGCCGCCTCGCTTCGGGCCTGCGCCATGTAGCGGATGCTCGTTTGACGTGGCGTGGCGAGAAAAGTAACGTGGCGCAAGCCCGAGGCGATGCGGCGCCGGCGCACGCAGGGTTTGCAACGATGACGATACAAGCGCGCCGCGTTAACGCCCGCTTGGCTAACCTATAGTTGCTTTCCAAGAATACGGAGTATAAAGCAAGTTATCCTCAAAGATTGTTGGAACACAAAATGATTAGCTGCCAGGAAAAGAAGTAAAAAATTCAATTTTTGTTTCCAAGACTTGGACTGATTTGCTAGTAGGTACCTATTTTGCTGATTCGTCACGTCAGTATACATGTTTTACAGTTATTTACAATCTTATATATAAAGTTGAATGTCTGTTTGTCTGTCTGTCTGTCTGTACGTATGTCCCGAATAGAAAATTCCATTTCTGAACCGATCCGGACCAAACTTGGCACACATACACTTCGGGCCCCGGCGGGTGTCATAGGCTACTTTTCGTCATCGATCGACATCGATTTTATCGATTTTTTGCAAAATTTGAGCTACGGGGCTGGGAGTTGGAACAGGGGGGTAACCGAGCATGCTGATTACTATAATAATGACAGGGCCGGGCGGAGCCGGGTAAGTCAACTAGTTAATTGTATTTCTGTGCCATCGGAACTGTTATGGGCGACCTAGGTCTTTTCGCAGCTTAGGCTCCCGCCAGAGTGCGGAAGCCACGCCGGCGCCGAGCCAACGCCGAGCTGTTCCGAGCTGTTGCGATCGATACACGTGCAATTCATTTGTGGCGGGGCTAGCTGACCTAATTCTCAACCAGGTAAATGTACCGGCTACTGATCGACATCCCTGTCAAAAGCTCCAGTGGCGCTTTGGCGGCACAGGGTCAGTTAGCCTCGCCCTGAACAAAATGCATGTGTATCGGTCGAAACAGCGCCGAACAGCTCGGCGCTGGCGTGGCTTCGGCACTCTGGCGGGAGCCTCAGAGCGTGGTGAGTAATGTCAAGAGATTCGGGCTGCTGTGTAGCGCAACGCAAGTAGACTTGCGTCGCTCCTCGCTAGTTACCACCTGTGCGGCTGCAAGCGGCTGCCTCAAAAGGAGTCGTTGATAGAATACCTTATTGTAGCTCGAAGGCCGGCTTGCGCGTAGGCATTGCGCTACGTGGAGGTACTGTCATTAAATAACATCTTTCTTAATGACAGTATCACCGGCTTGGATAACGCGCCGCCGCCTTCTTGAATTTTGGCCATGTCAGCGGGCATCCTATGGGCAACTTTTTGAGCCCGCTACCATCTAGTCGCCGCTCAGGCGTGATGGAAAACAGCCAAAGACGGTTGCAGAGACGGCGCAGAGTCCAAGAGAGATGGCTGCGCGAGACCGCACCAGCCGGTGACATTGCTATTGAGAAAGAATGTATAGGCGGCGTAAAACCTAATTGCCCGCGCCGTGCCTTGAACACCAGCGTACGCGAGCGGTCGTCGCGGACGACTGTCGGCGTTCACTATATTCCAAGAAATCTTTCTTCAACTTTCATGTTGTTCTCGTCAATGCAACGTATATCTCGACGAAAGCTCCCTTCAAAATCTCAAAAAAATATGTGTGAAAAGGGTGCGCGCCCATTGTCGCCCGCAAAGACCCTCTAGCGCTTAGGGACCAAACGTTTCCAGCCGCGTCGCGCGTTGGTGTTCAAAGCGAGGCGTGGGTAACTGGATTTTACGGGGCCTATAGACTGCAGCGTGCGGGCTTCAGGCTTCACGAAAAGGGCGCGATCGTGACCATTTTAGAAGTGAACTAGTTGGCAAACCCGGCTCCGCCCGGGCCTGTCAATAACATATTTGTAATCAGCATGCTCGATTACCCCCCTGTGCCAACTCCCAGCCGTGTAGCTCAAATTTTGCAAAAAATCGATAAGATCCACATCGATCGATAACGAAAAGTAGCCTATGACACGCTCCCTGTCCCGAAGTATATGTGTGCCAAGTTTGGTCCAAATCGGTTCAGAATAAAAATTTCTATTCCGCACATACGTACAGACAGACAGACATACAGACAGACAGACAGACATTCAGCTTTATATATAAGATAAGCCATTCATATGGATGGAACTGAGCCCTCAGAAGGAGACATAAAGTCTGTGTAAAGGGCCGGGCATACTTCACGCGATTTCAGTCGCGACGCGATTTGGCAATTCGCCAAAAGTCTTCATATTCAACACTAGCATTCCGCACATGCATAGTGTGTATAACTTACGTGGATTGATAAAATGCCCTATCCCCTGCACATTTAGAATGTGCTTACAATGAGTTACGGACAGTTGGAATATTGCCAAGTCGCGTCGCGACTGAAATCGCGTGAAGTATGCCCGGCCCTTAACAGCGACAGCCCCGCGTAGTGCAATCACACCACGACCGCGTGCTGCATTCCTAGCTATACGTACCCTACAAGTAATAGTCGTACTGTTATTTATCGACTAAAGGATGAGAAACAGACATAAAAAGCTGTAGAAACTCTAAATACAGTCTGCCCCAATCCTAAGAGGCCAAAACTGGCATGGCAGGAGTCCGCGTCGCTAGGGTTTCGCGGTCACGCCCACGGCCTGCTTCTCTCTCTCTCCCTCTCTCTCTCTCTCTCTCTCTCTCTCTCTCTCTCTCTCTCTCTCTCTCTCTCTCTCTCTCTCTCTCTAGCGCTAGCAGTTGCGCCTATGCAGCGCAACTGCTAGCGCTGCGAGCGCGCAGATTCACGCCGACGATTCGTCTCGATCGCAATTGGAGCAGAGTGTAGACGACTTTTGGATGAGGAAGACTTGCGCAAGTGTCGTTGCGGTTGCGCGCAAGACTGTTGCCGTTACAAGCCTGCACAAAATCTGACTCAAAACCATCAATATTTGCAATGACTCTAAAACAGAGAAAAAGAACTCTTGAGTTATGCTTTTAGAATCGCTCGATTCTGATTTAGGAATGAGAAGGTTCGTATAGGTCATTCATGAAGTCGTGACAACGGATTCGACTGCAGTCTCTGCGACCGCATGAAACATTAAATGACTCACGTGTACTCAGCTCATTCACTTCCAGAATCTAAATACTATCATAAACAGAAACCATGCGAGTAGAAATGAAAACCAATGCATAAGCGATGCACAAGGTCGCGCCATCGTCACGATTTCATAGACGCCTTATAACATTCGCCCGTTTTTTCTGGCCCGCACAACGCTCTTTTTTGACGGTTCTACTCTCTGCAAGCCTACATACCCGCCAGATAGGTCAAAATAATGTGGACTCTATTCCACTTAATACAATCCAAAGATGAAGATCACGGATTTCGCTGAAAACACGCCCAGTGGGGTTATTAGACCTGCTTATTACGAAAATAATGTCCATTTCGCGTGATGGGGTTTTTTTGAGAGGTTACGGTAGCGGTAGGGGGTCAAAATCTCAGAATTCGCTAAAATTTTGCGTAGGGAGGTTATTCGACATGCTGCTATTACACTTTTTCCGCACGAAAATCTCTCCCTGTACAGTTACGGTGGGTTTACGGTAGGGGGTCAAAACCCAGATTTGGCTGGAGTTTGGTCTGGAGAGGTTATTTAGCACGCTGAACATGGATATCATATTGACTTTGTACGGTAGCGCCATTTTCTCGAATTACGGTAGGTACACGGTACGTGGGTACGGTACGCAAAATTTCAAAATTGCTCAAAACGTTGCCTAGACGGGTTCTCAAGCATGCTGATAACAATATCAGGCTTGCTCGCTGTAACAACGCTTTGTTGTGGAGTTATGGCAATTTAGCGCTTAGGGAAGCATAGCATCTTCCCCACTTTTCATCCCAATTAAGATCCCAAAAATCCAAGAGAAGGCCTTATAAGCGAAATGAGCGCGGTATCCGTGATAAGCACATCAGATTACACCCCTGCACAAAGTTTCAGGCAGATCTACGGTTTTGACCCTTTACCATATATCTAACGTAACCGTACAAGGAGAGGTTTTAGTGCGGGAAAAGTGTGGTACTTGCAATCAGCATGTCGAATAACTCCCTACGCAAAGTTTACCGCAACCCCTCAAAGAAAACCTCACCGTGCAAAATAGATATCATTTCCGTGATCAGATGGTCGAGTAACCCCTTTGTGCGAATTTTCAGGGAAATCCGCGATTACCAATTTTTGGTTGTATTAAGTGGAATAGCACCGATATCTCCACTACCGGGGTGAAGAGATACAAGAAAACTTACTTGTAATTGATGACGATCATTGCACCTATCGTTGGTGTAGGATCTTTCGCAGCAAAATCGCCTAACACGAAATTTTTATCGACCATAAGCAGAAAAGTTTTCGAAGACGTCGCTATACGCTTGATGACAAATGCTTTCTTAGCTATAGCCATCGCCATCGCTACATCGGCAGTCACCTGCAAAGAAGGACTCTCAGTGAATAAAAGAAGAGTTGAATAAGGAAAGAAACAGAACGATCTCCGCAAAGTACCGAACAGTTGACGGACGCACAAGCAAAACATTGTGCTAGAAGCAGATTCCTAGGGGAATTCTAACAACATGTGGAAGTTAACGAGTAAGCTAACTACGCAGATAATCAAGTCAGGCGCATTTATAAGTACATCATTTTCGTAATGCGAGGCGAGGGAAATTCAGGAACACTTTCGAAGAAATGAAAGCAAGGAGCAAAGAGCTTTTTAGAACGGCCGCCAAAGCGGAGCGATAAGAACAGCTGCCGCGAAGCTGGTGACTAAAAGAATGTTGCATCATTCTCTCTGCAAACAAATCGCACCATTTCTCGCCACTGTAAAACACGCAGCGTCTTATTTCGTTAGTAACTATCTCTGAAGAAAGCTCAAGCACGCTTTGCATCTTAGGCGCAGATCATAGCTCAAACCACACACTGACAGCAAATGGTGACATTTTGCCGAGGTGTCGTCGCACAGTGAAAGCACGGACGGAACATTGCAAAGTCGATAAACTGATGATCTACCTTATCTCACAACACTAGCGGTGTTGCCAGAACCAACGTTTCCAAAACATTTATTCTAACCTAAGGCATAGTTCACACGATTTTAGTCGCGAGGGATTTGGCAATACTTCAAAAGCTCAGACGGTGTATGTACTAAGCCTATTCTAGATGTACAGAAAGTAGGGTATTTTTTAAATCTACGAAAGTTACACATACTATTGTGGTCTGGCAGTGTACGTTTTGAAGACATCGCGACGCACCTTTTGAAAATGCTAGACAAAATTCAACTAACTACAAACCAAAAAGCGACTCCTCCTTGTCCCTTATTGTAGAACTAGGATCGTGAGGATGACATCAAATTAAACCAATAGACTAGTGAAACAGTAATCTAAAAGTGCTATCTGGAAGAGCGTTCGCTTCGGGACCGCCACGCGGTTTCCCGCTATCTGCACATTTTTGAATTGCGCTTACGATTCTTTATATATTAGATAGACTAGTTGACATACCCGGCTCCGCCCGGCCCGGTCATTATTATATTCGTAATCAGCATGCTCGATTACCCCCTGTGCCAGCTCCTAGCCCCGTAACTCAAATTTTACAAAAAATCGATAAAATTGATATCGATCGATGACGAAAAGTAGCCTATGACACCCGCCGGGGTCCGAAGTGTATGTGTGCCTAGGGTCCGGATTGGTTCAGAAATGGAATTTTCTATTCGGAACATACGTACACACAGACATACATACATACATACAGACAGACAGACAGACAGACAGACAGACAAACAGACATTCAGGTTTATATATAAGATTAGATTAGATTTACAGGGGTTTTCAATCCAAATAGCACGGTTGGCGCCGCTCGCGAACGCCTCGCTAGAGTCTCCCTCGTCGCGTTCGTTTGCAATTCCCATGCTTGAGGCCGGGAAAAACCGAATCCTGGACATCAATGGCTGACAAACTTGGGAATATGCTCTGAGACACGTTCGCGAACGCGTCGAAGTGGCCTAAGCGAGACGGCTCGTGAGGACCCCAGCCGCGAGATCGTGACCCTCAGATTGAAACCCCTGTGCTCGTCTTGGCAAAGCATTCAAGACTATTAGGTCTTAATGGCTTTGCCTCTTCAAATTGCCAGTTTGCCAGTTTGTAAGCGCGAATGACATTTATGAAAGAAGCATCAAAGTTATTTGTACAGGTACTTGTCCTATCGGTAAGGATTGAGGTCTAACTTAAAAAATGGAAGATATGCATGCAAATAACGTTTTGGAAAGCAAGAACAACGCTATGATGGACTTTTAACCGGCACTGAGCGTGGTCGGAACATGTGTCATGACTCATTGTTTTATTCCATTCCTGCGCATAATAGATCCAGGTTACTTACATACAAGACTCGTTTTTGTCATTTTCTGTGATCCCCAGGGGATCGCCAGAGGATCCCAAGGGGATCACCTCTGATTTTCAAAGTGATTTATCTTCCTAAGAAGTCAATGAAAACGCTGAAAAATTGTACCGAGGATATCTACGGCTTTTCTAAGCATGTTCTGACAGGAGAAATGGAATATGAAGATTGAATTTTTCGATATTCCCTAGCTCGCGAGCATTGGTTCTTCGAAAATTTCGATATCTTGAGATATTGCTTCGACACTTACTTCAAATTTCTACTATAAACATGTTTAGCAGTGCCGTAGTATATATCCTCAGTACAATTTTGGAGCATTTTTATTGACTTCTCAGGAAGGTAAACGACTTTGAAAATGAATGTGATTCTCACGGGATCCCCTGGGTTTCACACAAAATGGCAAAAAACTAGTCTTGTATGGCAGTAACCTGTCTATCGACTTCATCTGCTGTAGCAGGAGATGCCTGTGCATTACCTTACATCTAGGTACAAGCCGCTTCCGCAAGAGCCTACACATGTAGCCCCTACCCTTCAGCGGCTGCACGTCAGGGTTTCTTCATACCACGCCGCAGCTGCGGTAGCCTGCGACTGCTGTCGCAGCGGAATCACGCCCATGCCACAGCTTTATCAGTGTTCCTCTGCAGTCCCATACAACAACTCTATGAACACCTAGAATCTGCTATGGATGAAGCAGGGAGGGCATGCAGGATCCTCCGATGTTCGCACTTCAAAGAAGTGCCGACTTTTGGATCTGCACGTAGGCCACCCGAGGAGTAAATTGACTTGTCCAAACTTGTTTAGTCGGTATAAGACGAGTAAAGGTCATTTAAAGGCAGTGTGCAGGCTAATCCTAATCCCCTCCGATTAGTGTCGGTCCTGAATGTAGGCCCCAGAAAAGGACATCTGCGTTGGTCCGGTCTTCTAACGTTGTCTCTGAATGGAGATAAGGGGCCTGAAAGTCCTTGGCTGGGCGGAGTCTGATATCAGACTCCGCCCACCAGGGACTGCTCACTACCTTGTCAATACGTGTCTCCCGACACGTATTGACAAGGTAGTGAGCAGAAGCTGCACACTGCACACTGCAATGCAACTGCACCCATGCAGTTGCAGCTCCTTCCCGCTGGCCTGCCGACGGGGACGAGCAATTCGAAACTCGTCCGCGCCCTCAAGACTGGGTCCCCAAGAATAGGGTTTTTTGTGAATTTTAGAGAGTTTGAAGTTCGGAAGTTAATCAGGGCCACGGAAAGGCCTCAGAATGACGAAAACGTGGGGGGTTAAATTCTGGGTGGACGCTGCCTTTAAGACTACGCAAACTGCAATAGGTTTGAATGAGATAGAATGTAAATAAATTTGCAAAAAGTTGGATTACTGACGAATAAGTGGGGGCGGGGGGACGTCTTTTGTGGATGACTTCTGTTTCCAGATAGCTTTTCATTAGATATAACTACTTCAAAGCGATGTTATCAAAAAAATATATTGGTTTTACCTGAAGTAGTACTGATCCAGATAATTAAGATCTAAACAATCACACTTATTCATTTGAATATGTTAGATCTAAATCATATAAAGTCAGTGTGAACATCCCTCCCCCAACCTCAAAAAGCAGCTGATACGGAACCGCGTCTATGCCAGCATTTGCACAACTCCTGATTGCGTGATATGCCCATACAACAGACCAGGAGATTGCATGAAGGCGGGCGCAATCTATTTAATCACATGTCAGTCATGTGGTGCAGAGTGTGTAGGCGAAACAGGTCGAATTCTGTGCATCCGGATCAAGAAGCACTTGGATGGATTTGCAAAAGATGGATCATCAAACCCTCTGGGTGCTCACAGCAGGCTCTGTCATGAAAATAGCATTTATTCTCTGACTAAACGCGAGAACGTTCTGCGTGCGTTTGATCAACCAGTTTATGAATAAGTTCTAACGCTTTTGGTTAAAGGCAGCGTCCGGGCAAAATTTCGCCTCTCATGTTTTTGTAGTTCTAGGGCCTTTTTGTGGCCCTGATTACAGTTATAAAGTCTAAGTTGTCCAAAACCCTGAAAAAACCCAATTCCTGGGAACACTGTTTTGAGAGCGCCGACGAGTTTTGGATTGTTTATCCCCCCCCCCCCCGGCTCGCCGCTGAGGAGGAGCTGCAACTGCATGAGTGCAGTTGCAGTCCATGATCGATCGATGCGTGAGCACACGTCCTCAGGGAGAGGTTTGTGATACGAGGGGCGGATTGTGATACGTATCACATGCCCGTATCTCCTTTCAGAAGCCACGTCAAAGGATCGATACGCAAATCGGATACTCATGGGGCCCGCTTAACAACTATGTAATAATCTGGGTGGGTGGATCTTGCCCGGACGCTGCCTTCAACTACTATCAAGAATTGAAAGAACGTGTTTGAGCCAGCGTGGATTAACGAGCTCAAACATGTTTTTCCACGAATTCTAATAGCAAATGGCAAAACGCGTTAAAATTCATTCGTAAACTTGTCGATGAAATGTGCGCAAGGCGTGCTTGTGTCTCCTATTCTGAGAATAAATGATACCGCATTTGATACAGAGGTCACATATTTATCGCACGAGCCCCAAACTATAGCACGCTAGACACTTGCGTTGTGGATCTGCTCTCGACATACAAAAATGAATATAAAAGAAGAATGCACCGCCGTTGCAAACGACCCTGCAGCCTTCCAGCCTATTTGTGGATTTTGATCTACGGGTCGGGGCCGGGTGAAGCGCAGGGGAGTGATTAAAGGCAGTGTCCGGACAAAAACTCGATTTTGAGATTTCGTGCTTACCCGGGCCTATTCGCTACGCTGAATCCGAAAATGCGCATTGGAGAGCGCAAAAACGGCGAAAAGGGGCTCTACGCAGGAGAGAAATTGGAAATGGGCGGGGTCTTCCCCATTATGAATTTCGCTGTCCCGGCTTCTGGAACGATTTTCTTAACTCCGCTATCCCTCTGAGATCTTCACAGGCCAGGTGCAAACGCATGACTTGAAATCGGGACCGAGAAGATCGCTCCGGAAGCTTGGAGCGTGAATCCGCAGTGGGGAAG